AATAGTAAAGGTGATACAATGAAAGAAAAAACTGAATACAACTTACGTAGTAGAAGAAACGGATAAAAATCATCAGTTTATCTTGTTTTTTTTATAGATTCAATGACTATATACGTCATTTTACATTTATCTTGTGACGTTACAGAACAAAAACCAATAAAAGAACAAAAAGATTACGACTCTTCTTATTCAGAGAGACAAATTTCTTTTTATCTTTAATGATCAAAAGATTCTAAATCGGTATCCTTGAAAAACTTTGTTATCGTGCTTATCTGTCAGTAGAAACATAGCAAATAATGATTCACTCGTACGTCAATAGATCAGAGAAAGAAAAATATCAAAAGAATGACGTCAAAAACAAAAAATATGTGCATCATATTCATGATAGTTTGACTATGCAATAGAAAAGTTTGATGAATACTCTCGTAAACTAAAACAAAATAATCGATTTGAAAACTTCACTTTTATCTAATAATTGAAAAAAGAAAAACAAATATAGTTATCAAAAAAATTTATTTTAATACTATAAAAACAATATGATTTTAACTTAATATATCACATTTACTTATTGATAATTGATATTAATCTGAAAATGACACGAAATTCAAATAGTCAAATTTTCATTATAATGCTTAACAAGATCAGAAGTGTACTAGATTGAAATTTCTTTTCGCGTTGTTATTTAATAGTAAAGAATTGAAATATCTTTTAGTTTCATTGTTTTGCATATTATGATGAATACAATTTTTCGTATGTAACTGAATTATCAAGCTAAAATTTTATTCGGAAACACATGATACAAAAAAGTGCTTTGTAAAAAATAAATAATGATTTAATCATAAACTGCATGTGGAAGATTTTAAAAAATGTAGATATTTGTTATGTATTAAATGAATGGCCGCATGATGAACAATATTTAGCTGTAAGATCTTGACGTGCTACACCACATCGAGAACAAAATCCTGCCGTTTGAACAGAATATGCCGGAGGTGCAAAATAATCTTGACGTCCGAAATACGATGTCGGTCCAGGAGCAACTTTATTTGAATAACGTACTTGATTAGCACTTTCTTGTAAAACATTACTACCAATATCTATTGCTAACTAAACAAGAAAAACAATTAAGATATATATATATATAGTAATCTAAATTTATCTTCATTGTTCGAAAACATTTTATATAATGAAATTATTTCTTGATTATTTTTAGCTTTAAATAATTTTTCTTGTGAATAGGTAGATAAGAATTAAAAACAAAACTAATACTTGATAAAACATTTGATTATTATTATTATATCCATAAGGTCCAAACCAAGTTCTTGAAGTATCTAATCTCCAGCTACATGGTGTTGGTGATCTCGATGAATATTTCATTGACTCTTGAGCGACTGCTTCTCGCATTCTTAATGCACGTTTTGAATATATAACACAAAATCCAATAGCAAAAAAAATTGAACCAAACGTAGTCAAAAAAAAGCCAAGACCGAGTAATACATAAAAAACGGTCCAAAATTTAGTTGCCATTACTCCACCAATAACAAAACATCCTGTTCCAATAATCAATGTCAGAGCAAATATAATCCAACAAACAATTATAAAAGTTTTATGTGAAGAAAGTGTAAGATTTATTCTCTTAATTGATTCTTGAAATTCGTGTTGATTAATTATACCATTTAAATGAATTGGGTATGTTGAATCATATTCAGCTGTCAAACATCCAGCTAAAATATCAATGGTAAAT